CTGTTTGGCAGGTGATAAATATGTGCCTGTGATTTAGATTTTGTCTGTGACGTCGAAATTTACATGTCTTAGATAAGTAGTGAACAGTGACACGCAGCATTCTTTCAGTAGGAGGAGATTAAGAACAAAAGACACATGCTGAATATTTAAAAAAATGAACACAATATCTCTAACAAAATTAATGGAGGGCCATCGATCATTTACAAGTGGGCCAAACATAATCCGTTGTAAAGGAAGAGTTAGAAGTTTCTCAAAGTGTCATTTTCAGACTATGTAATCTGTTTTTGAAAATGGAAATGCTCACTGAAGATCAGGACAAGATTGTATGGAGTGAGGATGCTTATTTAAAAATGCGGCCAAAAGCCATACTTAACACTAACGGCCACAAGAAATCGCAATATGAACGCCCCTTTCCTGCAACAGCATTTTCAGAGAGCTACTGTGGTACCAGAGTTTTAACTCTAACTTTTTGAAATCAATTCCAATATGTGGGTTTGTATGCTCAAATATCTATTGTTTGTGTTTTGTTGACACGGGACCACCGTGCTGCCAGTAGAAGTTATCCACAGAAGCATCTCAGATGGGAATGAGATGAGTAGAGCAACATGCTCTTTACAGACGAGTCTCGCTTTAGTGTACAGCTGACAATAGGCGGGTTCTCATCTGGGAAGACCTACCATACAGAATACTCCTACATTTGTGCATTGAAAAAAAATCCTGATTTGGTGGAGGCGGAGTGTGATAATCTGGGCCAGTATTTCTATCCATGGCCGTACCTACCAGCACATGATCAGGAATGGCGCACTAACATCTCAGCGATATAGGGATAAGATCCTTAGACTTATTGGTCTTTTACACTGCACCAATCAGGAATGAATTTATTCTTATGAATGATAATGCCAGGCCACGTCCTGCAGAGTTCTGTTTCGATGAAGAAATCCTTCAAATGCTGGTATACTCATATATAGTAACAATCAATTTCAAAATTTATAATGTGTTATGTTAAAAACAAATCAAAATCTTAAAAAATTTTAATAAATGTTCAAGATTATAAATATTATAGAAAATAACTTCAGAAAAAACATCATTAAAAAATTACAGAATATTAATAAAAAAGGCATTTATAAATACTGAGTAAAAAATTATTTCATTATTTAAAATTTATGTACGATTAATTATTTATATTAAAATCTTTAATATACTAAAAATTGTAAATTTTAGTATATTAAAAAATTTTAATATACTAAAAATAGTCAAATTTTACTAGAAAACTACTTAATAAAATCAAGAAAACTACTTAAATAAAAAGGAATATATAAAGGTCCACAAAAGCCTAATGTGGCCATCATTTTCCCAATTACTGGTCATAGACAATTACAAAAAGTTTCAAATGATGCAAATACCACAATTTGTCATTTTTCAATTAAAAAAATCAATTTTGTAAAAATTACGAGATGTAATTTTTTTATATGTGCCCTCCTCTTTATGTTTAGGAAATATTTACACTCATTATTTAAAAAAAAAAAAAAAAAAAGTTTCACTCCCAACATCATAGTATTTATGCTTCTATAATATTAAACATAAATTATGCTTATGTTATTTATTGAAAATGAGAAAAATAATGTTAAATGCAATATTATAGATTTCAATATATTTATTTAAACATTTGATTTTATTTACAATTGGCATAGTAAAATATTATGAAATGCTTCTCAGAAAATGAGTATAACAATCAAAGATGCTAAGATTTTAACCATTTAAAAATATACACACACTCTTTATATAAATAACAATGAGTCACAGAGAAGAAAATTTTTTTTTGTCTTAAAATGGTAATTTATTATATATGATGTTGAATAATGATTATTCTTTAAATGTTACATATTTAAAAACTAATTATTCAAATTAGACAGTAACAAGACAGCTTCATATTTATTAATTCCAACATGCTACTTGATGGCATTATGTAAATCATAATGATTTTAGAATTATTTTTAAATGTGGGATAAATATAAGCAAAGTTACACCTTAAGAGATATACGAACAGCAATTACACTCAATTTCATACATAACTGAGCTTTAGATTCAGATAATTTTAAATTAGGGTTAGAAATAATTTATAAATAACAAAGTTTATACACAAAAAAATTCAAAATTTTTTAATTGCTCACCAGATATCAAATCACCAATAAAAAAGTACACCATAAACTCCAATTTACTGAAAACTACATAAAAGATAATATCAATCAGATACGCTCAAGCTTAAATACTGTATATAACTAAAATGCATAATTTTTTATCTATAATTTAAAAAAGACAGGGAAGTTATTTTATATACATTAAGGCTACTTTGTGTAAATATTAATTTTACCAAAAGTTCTCCTGCAAGAAAATTGAATTACGTTTTTCCTTTATCAGCAAACAAAAAATTTTTACAATTTTAATAACCATCCATTAAGCAGCAGTAATATTTAATTATGCTTAATTATTAATTCAACTGTTGCTCTGAAGCCTGAACATTTAGAATTAAAAAATGTCAGTAATATTGTGTAGGTTATTAAAATAAGATATTTTTAAAATGCTATATAAAAAACATTTTATTGAAAATACCAGGAGTGGTATAGATCTTTGAACACTTACTGTAAAGGCTCTCATTTTTGTGAGGCTTTAATTTTCGCGAGCCCGTCATAATTGTGAAAATTTAAGCCTTGATAATACTTTTTTTTTTCTGCCTCAAATAATAATAAAAATTCAGAAATTTTTCACTTACCCAAAATTTAATGATTTATTGCACAGTTACAAGCTTTTTCTTGACAACTTTCTTTCTTATAACTATTTTTTAAATAATATACAACTATATTTCTCTAATATAAAACAATAAAATTAATAGAAGGCAGCTCATTCACTTAGAATACTATTTATACCAGCTTCTTTGAAGCCATTCAAAATTATCTCATGTTTGGCTTCAATGCCGTTAAATACGTGCACAAGCCTAGAAGCGAGAATCGGTTTCAGTCGTGATATTAGCAAGTTCACAGATTCTTTTTCCTTTAGAAATTGAAGCTCATTAGAATACCACTCAATAAACTCATTCTTGAGCAAACACTTGAACTCGTCATTTACAGTTAAGTCCAAAGGAAGTTTCTTAAAATGCTGTATGCAAAAGATGTACTTTTGGAATTTTTTAATACTCAGGTACTTTTGAAATTTTTCAACTTTTGGTTCTGTTCATATAAAATTCGCGAGAAAATTTCAGCTCATGAAATCACCAATATATTCATTTTTGCGAAAATTACGGCCCGCGAAAATAAGGGCCTTTACAGTATTTAATAATAGCGTATAAAGTTTTCTATGACCTCATCAGTGACTTTTAATCAACAGGTATTTTGGAAAAGCAAATAACAGATCTCAAATTTCTAATAATATTTTATATAAAAAGAATATCACTTAGAATATATATGGTATTAGAAACATCTTTTATTAACTAAACTCGAAATATTCATAAAAAGTATAAGTCGAATATTTTACAAATCAAATCTTCTTTAATTTATATCAGTTAGATATACTACAAACTATAAAGCCTTAAATGATCAAGTGCATTTATTGCTCTTAAATTGTTGATTAAGCAATTAGAGACTGATCAAATTAGAAAGACACCATTTTACAAATCACAACAGTCTGAGAAGTGTTTATGCATAAGGTCACATACAAGACACTTTATATTATGTGCAATGGCATTACTTGTCAAAGGACATGGCAGACAAATGCAGGACAGCATAACATAACAGTCCATTAGTGAAAATTTAGAAAGATCCCATTAATGACAAATATAACACAAAACTATATCAAAATTCACTGGTCACATTTAGAATGAAAACATTTTAAATAATGAACTTAAGAACATCATGAATGAAAATAATACTAATAAATATAATTGTCTCATATTCAATAAGTAACAAATCCCAATATCCTAGTATTTAAAAATAAGATACAGAAAAAATGTTTTCTCATGCAATTTTTTAACTACTTTCAGTTACTCATAAGTTTCATTGTATATTCTTCTTTGTCACAAATTATGCATGAAATATAGAATAAGCATGCTAAATTGATATGAAAGTAGAACACACAAATACATACCCAAGGGAAAGAACTTTCAGTTACAAATTTCATTATTGGCAAATAGTTATTCTACTACAGGAGTATGATTTAACAACTCAAAAATTATTAAAATACTAGGTCTTAAAAACTTGATATTATAGGCGCCATGTGATTTGTATAGATCTTCCTTCGTTTGGCAATCAAAAAGATTTCAACTTGCCTGGATAAAGCTATAGTATACAATGAAAAAAATATCTATATATGATGACTCATAAACAGAAACAGCAATGCTCCTCATATATTAGATAGGATTTTTTTTTATTACAGCACAATACTTGAACAAAGGCTGCTCAAGATCATTTATAAAATATTTGACAGCTAACAGTAAAAATGGATAATCAGTATCTCTTACAATACAATAATGTGTAAAGTAGAGGATTTATTCAGTTTCCAGAAATGGCAAACAACTGTGGTTAAATGATTTTCACAGCATCTTAAAAACAATAATGTTTCTAAATTGCTTGCACTCATCAACAACTAGCATGCATCATTGTTGGTCCACAAATAGTAAAATAATGCAACAGCAGCAAGAAGTGGACCAGCCACAACTCACTGGTGCTGAGGTTAGCAAAGTGTTGTTGCACTTTGTACACTGCATTTTGTACAAAGCAACAGAATGAATTACACACAGGTATAACAATAGTGAAATTAATTATTACCTCAAAAGATTTCATTTTCCTTCTTTAACAAAGGATTACATGATTGCTAATACAACATGCAAAAGATTGAGCATAAAAGACTACCACACTGAAAATAAAAGACCAGATCTGAAAAATCACGACTTCTATTATAACAACTTCTTATTTTGGGCACATGTACAAAATTTTCAAAAGAAGCATTCGCATGTGTCAGACTGTGGAAAAAAAATAGGCACATGAACAAAAAATGGAGTTTTGTGCAACGTTCCTGGGAAACTCTCAGACTCACAAATCAATAATAATACTTACTAGATGAGAACTAGTAATTACGTATACTTCTCTAAGGTTGCTGCATTTTTTGAAAGAAATCCAACTTTTCACGACGTAAATCTTAAATCTATTCAAGCATTTGTGGTCTGAGATGGGGAAGTGCATTTACGAAACATCACCTCAAGCACTTAATTGAATGATTTACAGCTAACATCAAAGTTTCAGGTTTCAAAATGCACCAAATACCAACCAAAATCTCATATCATCCATGTCTTAGTAAAAGCAAAAAGTGACAGAAGACTTGATATTGTTTTTGGTAGAAGACTGTAATATTTTGATTGATCAAAATATGTTGTTTAATATACTCCAGAATTTTGATACTTACCAAGAGATGACAACACTCTTTTCTTCATTTACTTATCTTAAATATAGAATGCTGAGAGTTCACATCCTTCATTTTACTACTTAGTAGGGGAAGCCTTCCTCACACACAATATAAAAAGTTTGAGCATTTATTGTCCAATTAAGAGTTTAATTAAAAATGTCTGAAAAATATTTTTTCAGTTTTATTGTCAATATCAAATGAAAACATCACCGGACTTTTTTTTTTTTTTTAAATGAATTGAATTATTTCTTTGTTAAGAAAAATACAGCACTTATTTCAATTGCAATCATATACTATTTGCTCAGCAAAATGCAGTTAGATATCTAATATTGCAATTCAACCAACTTCAATTTATACTAAAATTCCATATATATGCATATTTTTAACAACATTAATAATCATACAAAGGAAACCTTTATTATCATGAAGTAGGCAATGCACAATTATTAGTGCATACTTTCCAGTAAAATCAAGGCATATTTAGTAATATCCCTGGGACTCTACACAATTTATAACATAATAACAATAAATTCATATCCACAGCAAAATTACTGTGATTTTCAGTAATTATGTAATCTTTAAACAATAACACATTTCTCACTTCCCAAATACTCACATTACCAATAACCTTTTCAAAAATAGTAAAATATTATTTCAATTTTAAAACAACATTTTTATTAGAATCTGGAGCACCACCAATTTCTACAAATCGGCTTTCATTCTGCAGAGCGGAGCCAGAAGTATCTGCATTAAGACCAGGATTGTGCAAACCATATTCAGGAATATCCCCATATTTTCCAACTTTTATAGGAGGAACATCATCAAAAACTTTTAGCATATCAGGGTAAGATTCCTGGAAATAATCTGCTTTCATCTGAGGAGCATATTCTTTATAATTGCTGGAAACATTTTCATCACTCATTTTTCGAGTCAGAGGACTTGAATCTACATTATCTTTAGAAGACAGCAAAACTCGAGAGCGACCTATAGCATAAATATCAAAAATTATACCATATAAAGAAACATTTCAAGTTTAATTAATTGAAAATAATTGGAAAAAATTATTCACTTTCATTACAGAAAAAAATAATAAAAATATAAGCAAGATGCACCATATAAAATTTTTAGATACAGAAATAATTTGTTTTTATTTATTCCCTATTCATTATAGAAAAGTTGTCATCATATCATTTGCTTTTAAGGTAAACAAGTAAAACTAAACTATTTAACTGTATTATTAATTCTTTGTATTATTATGCTATTGCAAAAACCTGATTCTCAATGGAAAACATTTCTAGTATAAGCACTCAATGGATAAGGTAGTATAGTGTCTCAATGGATAAGGGCACATATGCTGAAAGTAATGCAATGTTGACTTGTCTAATAGCATTCGAAGTGGACACCCTGTAGAGTTAGATAATGATGCTTTAAAATCACTGGTGGAAACTGATCCCAAACTGAGTATGCAGGAAATAGCAAACATTCTTCAGGCTACTTGGGCAACAGTACAAAGACATCTTCAAGAAATCAGGAAGGTTTACACACAGGGCATATGGGTTCTATGTCTACTGTCAGAGATGAATATAGAGCAAAGGCATACAATTTGCACATCTCTATTGTGCAGACAATAAAGTGATCCATTTCTATGATGGATTGTTACTGGTGATGAGAAAGGGATCTTATACAACAACAACAAGCACAGGAAACAATGGCTTTCTGCAAATCAACTAGCTATACCCACTCCTAAACCATCCTTCAGTTTATAGAAGGTGTTATTGTTCATTTAATGGGACTGTGGTGGCACAATTCATTTTGAACTATTGAAACTGGAAGAAAAAGTTAAGGCTGAATTGTAATGGCAACAACTAGATATATTACATACGAATTGTTGGTAAAAATGCCAGCTATGGTGAACAGAAAAGGAGTAATATTGCAATACAAAAATGCCAGACCACATGCAGCAAGATTAACCCAAGAAAAAATAAGGCAGATAAATGGAGAGGTTTTACCATATCCACCCATATTCTTCAGACATAGCACCATCATAAACAATTTTCATTTATTCTGATCCATGGAACATTCCCTGAATAAAAATATCGATAATGTGCGAGCTCACCTAGAATAATATTTTTCTTCAAAGCAAAGAAAATTTTATGAACAGGGGATTGAAAGTTTACCAGCAAGATGGCAGAAGGTATTAGATAATGAAGATTACATAATCAACTGAAGATAAATGTAAATATTTTTTGTTGTTGTTGTCTCTGAAATAATTGATTACTTATGGGTACACCTTTCAGTTCCATTTTTGGAGCACACCTTGAAATAAGGAAAAAAAGAAAGGATACAATATTCATCATTATGGACCGGATTAGAGTACCACGTCAAAACTTTTTGTAAAACATGCAAAAATTGTCATTTGAAGAGTCCAGGAGAGAGATCAGACCAGATTTCCATAGCACCTCTCTGAAAACCAGAATTACCTTTTGAAATAGTGAACATTGACATAATTGGACCTACTGAACTTTCTTCTGCTCGAAAACACAAATACGTGTTATGCCTGATAGATCAACATTTTCGATAGCTAGAAGCAATCTCACTGCAAAGCTTGACAGCAAAAGCCACTTGCTATACACTTTTAAAGATATTTATGTGAACAGGAATTCCTAATACAACAGCAAGTGACAATGGAAGCAACTTTGTTTCAAAATTAATTTAAGAATTTCAGAAAAGACTAAGTTCTCATTCTAGATTCTTCATCTCTACTTACAGAGCTTCAAATGTATTGGTTGAAAGATGTAAAAGGTCCCTCAAGCAAATGTTACATCATGTCATCAAGACTGTCCCTTCGAATTGGGAACGACATCCCGTATTTACTCTTCGCTTCTCAAGAAGTAACGAGCTGCACCACCAGAATCTCATCATTTCAGCTGATTTATGGAAGACATCCAAAAGGTCCTTTAGCAGTATTAAAGACTTCATGGTTCAGAGAAATACTTACCGATTAATCTAAGTGGATTGTAAGTGAATTACTTACAGCATTTAAATATAAAGTCCGAACAAGCAGCCAAACACGCCAATTTAATTGCAAGTGAGAAACAACAAAAACATGCTGAGTATTTTAACCGAAGATCAATGCCAAAAAATTTCAAAATTGGGGAACAAGTCTATTTATTCATCTCTTCAGATAACTCATTCTATGTAAGCTGGTTTAAACCAGGAGGAATTGTTAAGTCATTGTCTACCTCATTCTTATAAAGTACAACTACCTGATGGAAAGATACAAGCATGTGCATTCAAATAAAATTCGAAACTTTCAAGTTAGCATCAATGCAGTTAGAATGACTTTGAAAGCAAAGAATTTGGAGAAATTATAAATTTGCCAAGAAAAGATTTCTCAAGCCTGTGGAAGATTTAAAAAAATAGATGAGAATTTGAATTTAGACAATTAAAAGCCCCAGCAAAGAAAGAAATTAATCACTCTCCATCAATCAACACCAAGCATTATTCGACGGAAAGCTGAAAATAGCCAAAATTGAAGCCCATAAAATTAGATTAATACTAAACATAGAACGAAAAGCAACCTTACATCAACTGGATTCCTGAAGGACTGCAAACCAAGGTTGACAAAGAGGTAGAACATTTATTAAAATCAGGACTAATAGAAGAAAGAAATGCCAAAATAGCTCACCTAGTAGTTTGTGTAAGCAAGAAAGCTGGAGATATCAACCTGTGTAGACTATACAGCACTGAATGCAGTGACAAATCTGGACGATTTTCCTGTGGAAAATACTATCCATTTGATATACAACACAGGAAAAGTCATAACAACACTGGATTTACTCAAAGGACATTGGGCTACACCTATGGAAGAATGAAGTGAAGAATACACATCCTTAAAACTCATTGAGGTAAATTATCAATTTAAAGTACTACATTTTGGTCTAAACAATTTTCAAAAGCCTATATTGACAATATGCTCTAATGATTTCAATACTTATCTCCAAAACCCGGATAAAATTTTCACCAAACAAGAATTATTTAAATTTGCTATCAATTTGAAAAATGCTCTTTTTCAAAACCACAAATTAAATATTTAGGACATATAATTGGATAAAGGAAACATCAAGCAGATCCAAAGAAAATAGAGGCAATCAAGACTCTGAAAACATGGAAATGAAGACTCATTTCGGCACTTTTCTGTTTCGCCAACACAAATCTCGCCAATTAGACTTTATTGGTGAAAACACACAGTATACACATAAAAAGTGTTGACAAATGTTAATTCTAAGACTTTTTTATTTTGAAGGTATAAATATTTTAATGTTGTTTAACATTTTGTAAAAAAGCCATTAAATAAAGAAAATAAATTTGTAAAAAGACATTAATTTAAGAATTTACTATGCTTTCATCGTACAACACCCTAATTCGCCGGTTCACATCACATGACACCAAGTGATCTCATCTCACGTAAACTACGCTACAAAAATCTAATTCTTTCAGTAATTATCTACATTAATTTCAAGTTAAATCTTAATTTGGAATACAAGTTTAAATGCAAGTTCAATTCTCATTAGAATTGATGAATTTAACCCTTGACTTTGCCTTTTCTATATTTTCACTATCCGGTGAGTGTGTGATTGCATCCTAATTGACTTAATTACCACCTGCGAATGGCCTTAGGGCATAAAATTGAACTATCTGGTAAAAATTCAATGTAATTGTATGCCAGTATTGAAAGAAACAATCAATCCCATAAGAAATGGCTGCAACTTGTTTTGAAAATGTAAAAGTTAAAGTAAAAGGTCACCAGTGAGGATATTTTGTTTGGCATTGAGTGTACCATTATATTGGCGACTTTATCTCCTGCGCCAGCAAAACGGAAAAGTACCCTCATTTCAAAAGCTTTTTCAGACTGTGTAATTAATATTGAGATTACATCGCAAGGCATGCAGAGATTGCCTACCCCCTCATGAAAAAGAAACAACCTGAAATACTCAAATGGAGAGAAGTTCATGAGCTAGCATTTCAGCAAATGAAGGAGCGATTAGCAAAATAGATGGAACTGATCACCCCAACACCACATGATCCATTTGTCATTCATTCAGACACATCACAAGTCTGAGTAGATACATGTTTATCACAGAAAAGGGGAGAGAACAAGTCCCTGTATGCTACGTGAGTAAAAAATTATCAAAACCCCAACAAAGCAGTCAACTACAGAGCATGAAGCTTCTGCTAATGTATTGGCACTGAAAAAGTTTGAACCATGGATATTTGAAGCATTTGATTGTTGTTGTTTGATTTTTCAATTAATGCATGGATATTTGGTTCAGTTGTAAAGACTGCAATGGTGGGCCACAGCATTCCAGAATTCAGAAATTGTGCATTGCCCCAAAAGAAATCTATCTAGTGCAGACCAGATTGCCCCACCAGTGAACTTAAGGATACGTTTAACTTTAGGATATAACCATAAACGTTTACTTACTGTTTATATTTGTACGACATTTAGTATAATTAGTAATTAATCAGTTTTCTGTCCTTAATAATTTTACAGTTTTGTGAAAAATAGATATTTATATAATTTGAAATAAAAGAGAAGTAATTTTTTGTGTAACAGACATTTAAGATAAGTGGGTAAATTTGTTTGAATATTTTTTCAAGGATAACAATTAATTAAAAAAAAATTAATAGAAACTGTTTTAGGATTTAAAAAAAACTCTGCGTGATAAATATTTTTTAATTTCATGTATCTGAAAAGAACACAATTATATACCTATTTAAGTAGTGTGAATAGATAAATTTTAATAATGTTTTTAATAATAATCTTCACACATTGAAGCAGAAGGCTCAATTTTACTTGAAGTAATATTTGCATGGATATATTTTAATATGTTTGTAAAGAATATCACCTCATTTTCTTTTTGTTAAGAAGTAAGATATTGTTATAACAGTATTTGGAATCATTAGTGAAAGTTAAAAACAAGTGTGTATCTATCTACATTTATATAGTATAATGATATGTAATTATACCATTCCAAATATTTAAATGTATATGTAGATTTTTTCTTTCTTTTCTTACTGATCACAAAGAGTTGCTCGATTTTAGTTCACAGATTGATGATTGATTTGTAAACAAAATCAACAATCTTGCAATGGGGATGTAGTATCCGGTAATTGTTTGGCGATTAATAAGAGGCGCTTGGTGCGTTTGCCTCTTCTTCTGGGAGGTTGCAAATTTTTAGGTTAGTTAACTATTTGACATGGGCTAGCCAGGTACTCGATAGCTATATGTTGTAGAAATGATGCAATGCTCCGAGTGACGGTTTTAACATTAAGTTAATAAATATTTTGTTTGTGTTTCATCAAATAGTGCCTTTTAATCGCACAGCCATTACATAAATTCCTTAAAATACCAAACTAATAAAATTGTAGAGACACATAACTTATCATTCTGTCTATCTTCTAATTACAATAATTCCAAGCTTAAAATAAAGGTTGAAAATATATCTAGTTATTAACAGGTCAACCTGACAATTATACAAAACTGGAAACATAACAGAAATCAACTCTGCTGCTCATGGAAAATCCAAAATATAACAGTCAGGTCAAATTTAATATAAAGCTAATATAAAATACAAAGTAACAAAGCTCTGGCTCAATCTTAGCTACTTGCGAAGAAATTTCAGCTTGCTAAAGCCAACAAAGTTTGAATGCAAACAGCAAGGAATTGAAAAAGAGTAACAGTCAACAAAAGCTGCCAAATGTCTTTTTTGTTTCATAATCTCGAGGAGGGAAGAAAAAGCTGATTTTAATACTACAGTGTACTGAAGTACATTTGTAGTATTAAAATCAGATTTGTTATATGTAAACAGAAGCTGAAGAAAATTAAATACTTCCATACTGAAAATTAATGGAAAACTGATTGAATTCGTAAATAACATTAAATTATTCCTATTGCTACTTAAAGAAAGCAAAAATATCAAGTTAACAAAAACAAAAATGGAAAAGAATCTTTTACAAAATTCAAATTTAAGAGTGCATACAACTAATAAGAACAGAATTGCAAAAGGGTTTCCCCCCCTTGATTTTCAAATAGTAGAAAAATAAAGGCAAAAATAAATGTAAAAAAAAAAAAAAAAAAAAAAAAAAAAAAAAAAAAAAAAAAAAAAAAAAAAAAAAAAAAAAAAAAAAAAAAAAAAAAAAAAAAAAAAAAAAAAGCAGACAGAAATAGTTATTTCAAAAAATGAAGCTTATAACAAAATTAAAACTAGTTTAAGAAAATCAGAAATATTTGTGATTTGAACAAAATGAATTACTGACTTATCCTTTGTAATATCAATTTTAATACTAAACGTGATTCTAAAATTCTAGAGAAAACAAGAATTTATGAAAAATTTACTTAAATTTAGTTACATATCTATAGTTGAAGAAATAGTTAAATAGTTACAAGCAAGAGCCATACACAAAATGTGTTACATGATTGTAAAAGACTATTGAAACTGCAAATATTTTGCAGTTTATTTTTCTCTTTAAAACTGTACACAGAACATCAGAAAATCCAGACAAAATGCAAAAATTTTTTTCATTTAAAATGTCAATTATTTTTAAAGACTTGTTTCCACTTTGGGCTTAGGGCAACTAGTTTCAAAATATTTTTAATGAGTTTTTATGCTGTTTCAGCTGCATGCAAGTTTACAGAATATAATAATCAGTTGCAAAGCTTATAATGACAAAATTATTGACTCAGTAGCAAACTCATTTCAGTCATTAACTTGGATAGATATGCTGAAGAATTCACAATTTCTTGTTAAATATTTGTGAAATTATTTATGCATAAAACACTTACCAGCAACAGGTGGTACTCCATTTTTACCAGGCATAAGAACTTTAGACTGCAATGAGCTTGGGAAAAGACTTGGTAAAAGGAACAAAGCAAAAGATACAAGAAGAACCTAAATTACAAAATATATATAGGAAGAAGAATGTAGAAGCCATACAAGATGTTTCATAAATCTAAAATATCAATTTGTCAAATGCTATTTTATTATACTGTGATAATAGAAAAATTACCATAAGACATGTGCTAGTGTGAACAGATTTTCCACTTGAATTTGTTATTATAGACTGTAAATTTTTTATCTGCTCCAATAAAGACCTAAAAAATAAATTTTCATTTTCTTATCTTTAGAGAAAAACATATAACTTCAAAAGAAATAAATTAGCTTTACAATGAAAAGCACATGCAAGTCTTTTAAGAATAAATTATAAATATGTGTGTGAGAAGTCTGATCTCAGATCTCTTACAAGACATGTAAAAAATATAAGATCTGAAAGTTTCCACCCACCTATTTCCCAGCATTTGCTAAATTATTAAAACCGAAGTTATCCTTTCCACCCACAATCAAAAAAATTAGATTTCTTAAAAATGGAAGAGTGTCTTTCATTGTATAATGATGTTATAGAACTCAAAACTCAACACATAAGCTTTTTTGGCTATGTAGGGAACATTAGTATGAACCACAATCACATAATAAAGCAAGATTTGGCATGCAAAGGAGATAGAAGACACAGCAAGAACACTATATAAACAGCAGTGTAAAGTGCTTTATAAGATGAAACTTGACAGTCAGCTGGTAGATACTTGCTACAGTTTCACAACAGGTGTTGCACTATATGAACTGCCAAACACTTTTACAGATACCTTGAATTTCATGGATAAAAACAGCAGCGATGGTGATTCTTTATCATGAGTGCTGTATTAGAAACAATGAGTATTTCATACACAGTGATTTTAAAGATCCCTCACGGAATGAAATCAACACTTAGATAAGACAGGTAAATATAAAGATTATATGATGAAGCTACCATGTCCAATCAAAATATTCATATACATAAAGGGTGAACTGAAGAGCCTCAGAGCACTGGAACAGCAACCACACAATGAGGTGAGCATTGTTCAGTAAAATCTGGAAGAACATTCTACAGAAGTCTAATACTTCTGATTGTCTAATTTAGGTAGTAATAGAAATGGGCTGACCAAACAGTCCAACCACGCATGAATAGTAAAGGATGCTGAGCAGCACGTATCTGCATACTATATGGATTGCCTTGGACTCACAAGTGCATATTGTCGGAGCTGAAGACTCTGATGAAAAAAGTTAATGCTCCTTTCAATGAACAGTTCTTCATCCAGACAACTTGGGAATTCTAGGTTGCTCATATTCTGCTGCAGAAACTACTGTTCAAATGTCATACGTTATAGATAATCTTTCAGCTGCAATACCTGGATATATTACCTGAATTGCTGCAATACCTGAAATAGGTATGAGGCCATAATGAGCACAGTATGCCATATACTGGCTCAAGATGTTTCAAGAGATACAAGTTGAAGCAAGGCTGGCACCTGTGCATTCATCTATGCATACTGATTATTGCCCGACTCTACTAATTTCTAAGTTTCTGCCTTAGATGGAATACTAAAGGAGAACATCCTGGGAACAGTCCAAAGATCTTCCACTTCTCTTTCCCTACCTCCATCAACCTCTCAAAAGGATTTTGGCTTACCATGTACTTGAGTATCCCTTGCCCCACAGATACAGATGCTTATAAACATCCATACCTGTTCCGAGATCCGAACTCATACTCTTCAATATAACAATCAATGCTATTAACCACTATCCATCTGGGCAGAAAAACATTACAACAGCAATTGCATTCATCCTTGTTCTTGGATTACTGCCCCACAGTGTGCAATACATCCTTTTTCAGAATGGGATGTTTGGGTGAATAATAGCCACCTGGCATCATATTCACATATGTTCTGATATAAATGCAGAAACATTTGGCACTGTGGCACACATCTAATAGACTGCTTTACCTAATACATTCTTCTTACCAGAACTCATCCATTACTGCCAGCTACTCCATACATGAATTGTGTAACCCCCCCCCACACTCAGTGTTTTCAAAACTATGTATTTTCTCAATAAAACATTTTAATGAGGAAGACCCAGGTGCTGATGACCTGTACTACCTATCTTTTTCTAGTACTGGTTTCCTATGTGAATGCATTTCATATCGATGTTCTCAACCTAACTCCAAAGTTTGTATATGTAATTTTCAGATACCAGGCAGTACATTACTCACAGAAGCACGAGACTGAGGACTAAAGACGAATCATATGAATAAAAGAAACATATTGGTTTTGAGAAAGCTAATAACATTTATTTAAGATTAAAGAAGTCATGCATGGTTGCAACAGTCATATAAATATTTACTAGCAAATTATCATTAATGGTTAATTCTTAATAAGGAGACATATGGATTCTAAAATTCTTTGAAAAAACAAAATCCTACAATAATACTTAATATTATTTTTACATAAAATAAGTTGTTATATTACGATTACACTGCTTTCCATAAAGTCTAAAAAGAATTTAAATTAAATTTAATTTAATTTGTTAATTAATCAATCTTTAACTATTACGAGCTACAGAAATAGCTTTTTTGATTTAAGTTAAATTTTAAGCATAGTAACATGTGTACCTTTGTTGCTTCTCTAATGTTTGAACTTTTTTCTGTAGTTTGATGTTTTCAGATGTACACAGTTTCACCCTATTTATTAAAAAAAAAAAAATTAATATTCGACAATAGCAAATAATTTAAATACATCACAAATGCCTTTTTAATACATAAAAATAAGTAGAGTTTTTAGCAAGTATTTGATTATATTTAAATGAAAAACAAAAAATTAAAATGATTTTTAAATTAAAATTAAGCAAAAATGTAAATTCATTTAACAAGAAAACATACAGTGCAATCAATCATTGTACAGCTTGTGGAAAATAAAGCACAAAATTTCTACCAAATTTCACATAAATTTGGTTTAAAAAAAAAAAAAAAAAAAAAAAAAAAAAAAAAAAAAACTGAAAATTAAATGTTTTAAACTTTTATCACATTACATGAAAATAACTGAACTGAAGGAAAAACCACTGCTTCTAGATAAAAATGCAAATCTTGTACGGCAAATACGTAAGCGTACACGTGTGTAGACGGAGCCAGAAGAAAAACAGGCTTTATAAGCGCGTGGACAAATTGCGTTCGCTAGCCCACCTCAGCGAATTTCTTGATGTTATCTTGCAGCAATTGGTTAAATTCACATCGGAACAGTAAAAATGAGAACCACTAATGTTTAGATGGTGGAATGAGGTGGCGAATTGTGGGGAGGCTAGAGGCAGGACAATCACAAATTCAGATATGCAGAGAGTTTAACTTCCAGCGTCATGTGGAACCTATGAAAACAGTTCCAGGATACTGGATCCATCGAGAGAAAACCTGGGCAAGGTTGTCCAAGAGCCATGACGGTCAGAGAAGATCGCTATTTGTCCATTTTAGCGAGGCATAACAGAGAAGCTACAGCTTCTCAACTATCTTGGGACCTGTATGCAGTCACAGGAACCTGTGTAACAAAGATGACTGTTTCCAAAAGACTGAATGAGAGAGGGTTGTTTGCCAGAAGAAGGGCTGTTTGAATTCCACTCATGTCTACGGACAGGAGAGTCCGATTAGCATGATGCAGGCAGCATAGTGATTGGAGTACGGAGCAATGGGTGAGCGTTCTGTTCACTGACACGAGTCCCATTTTAGCCTAAACACTGATTCTTGCTGTACTTTCATATGGAGAGAGCCAGGGACCCGCTACCTACCCTCCAATGTACGTGAAATTAACAATTATGGCAGTGGCTGTGTAATGGTCTGGACAGGCATTATATTGGATGGACGCACACCACTCCATGTCTTTCACAGAGGCTCTGTGACTGGTGTGAGGTATAGGCATGAGGTTTTAGAGCCGTATGTTTGCCTTTTCCAGGGTGCAGCGGGCCCCGAGTTCATCTTACAGGATGATAACACGAGGCCTCACAGAGCTCTTCTGGTCAACGAATTTCTCTCGAGGATATTCTCTGGATGGATTGGCCAGCCAGGTATCCAGACCTCAACCCTATAGAGCATGTCTGGTAAGCTCTGGGGAAGGCAATTGCAACTCGCAAGCCCCTCCGATAACCATCCAGGAACTGAAAACAGTATTGCTGAATGAGTGGGACTAATTGCCACAGGCACTGATAAACTGCTTTATTTCCAGTATGGCCTAACGCTGCGAGGCCTGTATGGCTGTAACAGGGCACCATACCACTTATTAACCCTTTTCTTTTGTGTCTTCTGAAATCGCTGTTTCAGACCTTGAGACTCCCATGAGTGTTACACACGAATATGTATGTCTATTATAACTGTTGAATGTTTATTTTGTTTGTATTATATCAACCTATGTTCACACCAAATTTTATTAAAATCTGTCCAGTAGTTCTGGAGATCGTAGATCAAATATGAAAATTCTTTTAATTTCTTACACCAGTGTAGTACTGTTACCTATATACTGCTTCAGGCTCATACCAACGACAGATGCAATCTTGCACTCCTTCCCACAATCAAATTCTTATGATTGTTCTGATTAAGTCAGACAAATGAGATTAGTTACAATAACAATATGACATAGGTTAGCATGAACCTGGATTACTGGTGTATCTGTTTCTATTTCTTATGACTACGATACTACTGAGTTGCAAGATTAAAGAAGTTATACACTGAATAGCACAAAATTCGACTTGCATAACACAAGGATAATACATTTTCTGCTACTTTAGATCTTATCAGGAAAATTAGATATAGCACTAACTTCTATATAACTTACTATAGAAGAAAAAATGTGATGTGGCCAGCACCAATTCCATATTAAGACATGAAACCGGCAGAATAACTTGAGTTTTAAATAAAATATCACTTCCAGTTGATTGTTTGTAAATAAGATATAATTTATTTATAAACTTTATAGATCAATGTTAATTATAAACAGTACTCCTTTTTTATTATTGTACTCTTTCGTATAATGGACAATGATAACTATATGTGCTCATGTACACATCCCCTCTTATGCTTTGATTTGAAAATATTGCATTATCGTAGTATATCAACTGTCCATACTGTGTTTCAGATACACAAAACATTGACTTAATAATTGCAAAATTTTTTAAAGCAGCACATCCTTAGAATCCTTGATAGAGTGTAAAGTATTGCCACATATTTCTTTATATATTCATTATATTATATATATTTGCTATATCATTTCTTTAAAAATAATACATAGCAATAACATTTGGTGGTAGCATCTTTTTATTTGAAAAGTGATTCAACACAAAAGTGAAATGAACACAAAATTGAGGCGAATACATTTAATTGCTTCATAATGACAGCTTTCTTTCTAATGAGCTTATTTTTATAACATTTAGCACAATTTCAAGACTACATTTAGTGCTTATAAATGTAGCATGCTGTTCCTAACCACATACTTATTTTAAATATCAAACTTGAAAGGTTTTGGGTGGTGTTTTTTTTTTTTTTTTTTTCTTCAAGTACACTCATGTCCAAAATTATGTTTACATGCATAAATTCACGGATTTCTCAGAGACTACGACTTATAATTTAATGAATTTTCGTGGAATTATAAATAACATGATGACACATAAATGCAAAAGAAAAAATTGAAGATCACCTCATATGATATAAAATTGTAGCATGAAACAAAAAAATGGTAATAAAGTGTGACAAAGAGAGTTAAAAAAAGGAATTATTCAGAAAAAGAATTAAGTCTTACGAATTTAATATGGAATACGATCTCCCCTGACTTGTACACACATATCACAATGTGTTTTAAGGCTGGAAATAACGTTGTTAACCACAGTTTGGGGAATTAATCTCCACTCTTCCAGCAATGCCATCTTCAGAGCATTTACATCTCTAGGAGGAGGATGTATACGTGCAATTGCTCTTCCAAGGTAGTCCCATAAGTTCTCTATCGGGTTAAGGTCAGAAGAGTTTGGTGGCCAAGGTATTCGCTTAATGTCTTCACTTTCAAGGAATTCATCAACGAAGTTTGCTCGATGTGGACGGACATTATCATCCATAAATAAAAAGTCAGTTCCATATGCACCCCTGAAAAGTCTTACATAAGGATCTAAGACCTCATCTCGATATATCTGGCCTGTCACAGATCCACTGCTGAACACGTGTAGGGGTGTACGTCCATCGATCATTATTCCACCCCATACCATCACACCTCCACTACCGAAACAGTCACGTTCCACAATGTTCGAGGGATCATTTCGTGTTCCTGACTCCCTCCAGATGTAAACACGTTTAGAATCACCAGTTAAACTAAACCGCGGCTCATCAGTAAAGAGAACATGGGACCATTGATGTTCAGTCCAAGTTTTGATGTTCTTTACACCAATTAAAGCGATCCCTCTTTTTCTGTGAAGACAGTAAAACACAACCCTTGGCTTTCTGGCATAAAGGCCTTTTTCATTAAGCCTTCTGTATATTGTTTGCCATGATTTGCAACAGTTCCAGTGGCGGCTGCAAGCTCTGAACTTAACTGGCGAGCAGTAGCCTTTCTGTTACGACGGGCAGTTAATGCCAGATACCGATCTCAGAAGCAGTTGTCATTCGGTTTCCGACCTTGTCCAGGTTCTCCTTAAAACACTTCCATCATTTTGAAACTGTTTCCATAGCTTAGAGACTGTCTGTCTTGTAATATTCAGACATGTGGCTGTTTCCATGATTGACTGCCCTGCTTCTAAACGGCCGATAATTCACCACTTTACAGATTCTTCCCAAATGATACTTCGAAGCCATAACAAAAACCGCTTTTGAGTCCCTACACATGAATCAAACGCTATGTTGCAGAAATTCACTCAATATTCAGTTTGGGCAAAGCGCTTGATTCACCCTTGGATGACGTAACGCCTAGATTTGCATATCACAAACCGTTTGATTACTTTTGATTGGATAATGCTAATTAGGCTTGGTTTTCACACATTCCCTGCAAATACGGATCACATTGATTCGATATTTCATTGAATATCATCATTTTTGGGTATGTTAAGATAATTTTGGACATGAGTGTATTACTTCTGGTTTATCAATTTTTGCCAAAATCTAATATATTGTTTCCATGGATATAAAAATCTTAAATATTAAAATTGGAAAGTTTTGAATTATATTTTAATATAGTTTTGCATTAAAATCTGTTTTGGGCTTCAAGTAAAGTACCACTTCTGTCTGCCCATTAAAGACTGTTATGAGCTTCCAGTAAAGTAATCAACTTTTTACATGAATGGAGAAAACTTCAATACAGAAAATAGATATTTTTGAAAGTTTCATATAAGAATTATCATGAATAAAAAACTCATCACACACACACACGTGCGCGCAGACAGAAATAATTAAAAAAATAATAAAAACATGTTTGAAAATCTTAATACATGCTCATTTACTGAATACTCACTATCCAGTTTTTGGATAGAAAACATTACCTCCCTTACCTATGTAACGTAGGTAATGTTAGACATTGGGATGCATCATCATTAATCTGGGACATTTGAGATGCAGCATTTATTTTTAACATCAAAACAGATTTTGACATATCTCACACATCATGAATACAAAATCATGAAATACTCCCTCCCTCCAAAAATATGGTGCATCTTCAGAATTTAATTTTATTTGAAATTAGGCATACATTTACTTCTGTAATTAATACTGAATAAGTCTTAACTGTAATTGATGCAAGAATAGTTACCAGCACCTGAAGGGTTTGGGGAGGAATTTGGTCAGCTGAAATTCGGAACTCTAAAGTATCACACAAATGCTCAATCGGATTCAAATCTGGTGAGTAAGGTGGTCAATCCATTCGAGTGATATCTTCGGTTTGCAATTATTCTGACACCACATGTGCTCAATGAGGCCAAGTATTGTCATCTATTAGTAAAAACTCTGGGCCAACACCACCCCTAAAGAGTCTAACTTGGGATTCTAATAATACCTTGCCCACATATCTCCGAGAACCTCCCTGAAAGATATGCAACCATTTGACATGATTCCTTCCCAAACTATTAAACCGTAGGTGCAGAAAGGGGATATTTCATAGACAGGGAAAAGCAAATTGCGTGTTCATTCCTCTTTTCAGATCAAAATATGTCTAGAATCACTCTTCAGACTATATCTGTACTCATCAGTAAACAATACTCGGGCCCATTGAACCAGTTTGCCAGGACCAGTTTAAACGGGCCCACCTAGAAGCTGGAGTGAATGGGACACAAACCATTGGTTTTCTTGAATATAGTCCAACCTTGTTAAGTCTTCGTGTAGCAGTTGAATGGTTAATTTGAGTTGCTATGGCAACCTGAAGGTCTAAAACCAAATTTCATGTAGTCCATTAGCAGCTTTTCTGAGCTGACAACAGAAAATGGTCTTTTGATGCAATTGCTGCTCTTGGTTGCCCTTCACTAGACTGTTTACCAACTGATCCAGTGCTTAAAAAGAAGCTCCAAACTCTTGATATGACACATTGAGGGATATTCAATCTTGGACGACACCCATTTGTGTTTGAAATTCCTCGATTCTACCAATTATTCAACACTTTTGACCTTCACTTAAATGATACCTTTGAGCCATAACTATTGAATACTAATAACTCTAAGAAAGCACATTCATTTTAAACAACACTACAGACCAAAATTCCAACATGCATCCATTGAGCACCACACTGTCTATCACAAGACCTGCATATTTCCTGTACTAAAGTATGCATGGAAATGCAATTTTGTATTCAATTTTATTTAAGTAACATAAATAATTACAGCATTGGGCATTGGTTGCAACAATAACTTAGTAAGCATATTTTTTTCTCATTAGACTTTAATTTTGATAACCAGTGTAATTTTTGATTTCCTTAACCTATCTCTTCTTAGTCAATAATACAATCATGATACTGAACTTTTAGTGGTAATCAAACAAAAATAACTCGCATTTATCAAAGTAGGTTTCTCAATCAATTCTAATAAACTCCTTTCTAAGGAAAATTTGAAGAAACTGAATTCCTGTTAAATTATATATAATAAACTACACCATGGCCTTTTATTAAAAGAATTAAACAACATATACTTTAAAGGAAACTAAAAATCAAACCTTGTTTCTAAGCCATCCACATATTCTTTCTTCCGTTTACGACTTTCCTGAGCTGATTGCTAAAATTTAAAATACACCAGTTATTTTATTGACATCAAATTTTTTAATTAGAAAAACAAAAAAAAATTTAAATAATACAATTATTAATGGAATTATTAAATAATTGTGAACCACAAATGAAATTCATGTAAAAGTATACAGATGGTCCACGAATGAAAACACAGCCCATTAAAATACATTTTGTTCCACATGACTATAAAACAATCAATGAAATCGCATGTTTATTAACTAATTATGAACATTACATGGTAAACAATTGGCATGTCATTTCAGAAAAAGTCTGATTTTGCGTTAAAATATCTATATCAGAACAATGCTATATCTATCCTAAATTGCGCTTTTGAAATATGAAAAATGCAATTTAAATTTCGTCAATCGGCCCAGTAAAATGGGTGATATAAAACTGTCCCCCTCTTTTTTTTGGCACAGTGTACATAGCACTGTTCAGAACCACTTATATTCCTTTTTGGCTTTCCTTCAGTCACTTTAAAATAAGTCTAGTCAGTTTTTTTAATTAACAAAAAGAAATAAATATCATTTTTATACTTAAAACAAAATTTATATACTATTAGATAAAATAATGACTAAATTCATTGTTTCAAAATTCAGATTGTTAATAAATGTAATTTTCACTGAAATTCAACTTTTAATGCACCCAACCAAGCATAACGAACTAATTATCAAATTGCATAAATTAATACTTTTCTGCATTTACTACAAAATACAATAAATAAATAACAACATTATAAAAATTTAATTTATCTAATGCACAGATATGAAACAAATGAAATCAAAATATGAAACACACATTTAAATCATTGAAAAGAAACACAGGATTGTAAAAAATATGTACATCAAATTTTAGAAAAGACCATTCGTTTTACAAAAGAAATTAAGAAAAAGGGCATTTTAGAAAATAAACTGGCACATGTGGTTAGAATGAAGTTGAAAATGAGATAAGATACTCTAAGTTTACATACTGGAACTACATTTAAACATGAATAAAAATAAAGAAACTTTCACAGACAATCTCTACTTCTTCAGATGCAGCAGAAATAGTGTAGTTGGAATACTATTACATGCATATGAGTTTGTAATGGACTGAATGCACACACAGTCAATAACAGCTTGACTAAATGTATTTTTCCAAAAGAAACACTTTACAGTTCTGGAACTTTTCACAAAAGTACTTGTACAGCTCTTCTTTTTATTAACAGAGCACAATCAGTAGTTACCACTTCAAACTACTAATAACTTAAATACAATGCAATGCAAAGTACATCCAAACAACAAAGCCTACATGATCTCAGCATTTCAAACTCAGCTCTGAACTTTAGGAAAAAAAAAAATGAGAACTGATACTTTACCTCCTTCCATCTTATATAGTTTTCTCCTGGCTTCCAGGAAATCTCTAGTACCTCCCATTTCTCGAAATTAATTCAAGGCATATACAGTTAAAGTTACATATAAGGGCCATATACAGTTACAGTTACATATAAGGGCCATATACGGTTACAGTTACATATAGGGATTAATTACAGTTATAAAGGGACTGGGCCTCAATGTCGCCAAGTTTGGCAACTTTTACCAAATTTGCCATAAAAAATTAGTCACAGAAACCATTGGTAATTTAGCGAGTTTTGGCCAATTGGCGATATCTCACTAATTTAGCGAGATAGCCATTTACCTACGTGTTAAATAAACTTGCTCCTGTAACCTTATTTTTACGGTAGAGCTTCGCTTTTTCAAGCATTTTGTTATATTATACAAAAGATACTATAATTTCACTAAAATAATATACATATACACTAAATTCCTATCAAAACAAACAACAGCGAAGTCAATAATAGAATTCAATTTCCTGATCTTTAAATTTTAAGAAACAGAAATTTTCTTCAGACTTCAATCTATGATATACCACTAGTAACCTAGCAATAATCCTGTTCATCCCCCCTTTCATCTGCATAAAACAGTTGCCTTTAACTTGAAATGTGCCAAGGATTTTTATTCCAAACTACAGTTTATGAAACTAAACATAATTACATACTACAAATTGCTGAAAACAATAGAGACCTTTCCCATTTTGTGGGAGAAAATAAAAAAGCCACTAGTCATTTCTCAAAAGATAAAGTTATAAATAATATATTTTATGCATGGGAGAAGGGGGCACAAAGATTACAGTATCTCTTTATTTGACTTTTTTTTTTTTTTTTTAAGACACCAATGAAATGTTTTTGTTACTTCCTTATCTTTATGGCCCTCATCATAATGGTGCGAAGATTATCACCAAGTTTGTGTTTACTTTTCACATAGTTTCTGGTTGCCATATTTCTGTAACTGTTTTTAATGTACCGTCATGAGGATTTTCTCATCCCAGCAACTTTTGCAAGATAGGACTCAAGATGATGAGTCTTGCTTTTTTGCTTTTTATTTCACCACTTAGTCTTTTGAGTTTGAGCAGCTGTTTCTGGATCTACAAAACTGAACTTATGTTTCACAGCAAAGTAAGTATATCATGCCTCCAGTTTCTCTGTTTTATATGCTTGCCAACGGTCTGAATAAACTGTTGATCCCTCTCGTTCTCCACAATATGATTCACTATTTTTGCCATGAGTGTAGTGGTCTTTCTCTAAAAACTTGAACAAGAAAGCATTCACCCAATACACACTATAGATGAAAAATCTTGCAGACTTTGTTTTTCCAATGGACAAGCAGACTTGTATCTATTTCCACAATTTTTTCAGTGCCACTTATGACCAGTCTGTTGACCACAAACTGACCAGTCTGTTGGACACAATCAAGGATAACCGAAATAACGATCTGCACACAGCAGTCGTGTCAGTTGACATCCAAGGGGCATTCGATTCACTCTGGTGGCCAGATGTGATTGAATGTCTAGACCGAATTCAGTGCCCGATTGAAATCCTCAGGACTCTTCGCAGCTATTTGTCTGATCGGCAAATATAGATAACAACGCCAAATAGCCAACTTCAACGACGACTGGTGTGTGGCTGTCCCCAGGGTTCATGCCTGGGCCCAGTCTTATGGAACCTGGTTGCCAACACGATATTTGATCTTAACAATGGTGATGAGACTGTCAAAGTCCAGGCATTTGCCGACGACTTTCTGCTTTTGGTCACTGGAAGACACAGACTGCAGGAGAATGTACAGCGAGCACTGAACCTCTTTGCACAATGGGCAGCCAATCACAAATTGGAAATTTCAGCGTCCAAAACTAACATTTTACTCATAAGGTCCACTGAGGCAGAATCCAACTATAAGATTATTAGGTCATCCAGTTAGGACTGTTTCCCAGTTGAAATATCTAGGTGTCATCATAGACAACCGCCTCAACTAGATTCCACATTTGCATCATATACACCAGAAAGTAGTATCTCTTACCAATAACATGAGACGAACTACTGGCATGTATTGGGGCATTAGACCAGACATATTGAAGATCTGGTATCACACAATAACAGTGAGGGTGATTTTGTACGGGTCTTCAGCATGGGGTATTCATCTCAATGGAAGCCTGAGGAGGAAACTCAATTTTATTCAGCGTCTCCAACTCCTCATGATTACTAAAGCTTATAGGACCACTTCGACAGATTCATTGCAGGTGCTCGCTGGGTTACCACCATTGGATCTTGTCGTGGAGAGGGAGGCTGGACAAGCACGGATCCTACGCATAAAGGAAGATTTTATCTTGTGGGGTAACCATTACCGGGCTCGTGATTACAATGATCATTCCCCTTGTTCTCTGAGACATCCGGCAGACATAAATTATGATAACAAAGTCACCATAGAGCCCTTAATTCCGGCTAGGCACGAAATACGGGTCGTACTTAAATTAAAAATTAGTAATTTAAAAATCTATTGCCGATTTGTCCCATCTAAGTTCAATTTCTTAATAATTTATTCTTCATATTTTTATACCTTACAATAAAAGAGATAGGTTGCATTCAAGTATTCTTAGGGCTTTTTCTAGGTATTTTAATCCTAACATTTTAAAATTCATATATATGAAAATTTCAAATAATTTATTGCATGACATAACTAAAACAAATAACTGTCAATAAATATTAAATTAATAAAGTAATTGGTCTACATAAAACTAAACTAAGTGGTGCAACAGCTCTAGTGGGCCAAGGCCTGCAGGTCTCCGAAATCTGCTTTCTTGACCTTGGGCCCCGGAATGCATCAACATATACCCTGGGCAAGTGGTCAGCTTGTCGCAGGACCCTCGGTGTTTAGTCCCCAAGCGAACTTGGTACTCATTTTATCGACCAATTAAAGGATGAAAGGCTGAGTAAACCTTGCCCAGCCCAGAGATCGAACCCCGGACCTGTGGTGCAGCTGTGCAATGCACAAGCCACTGATTGGTCGACATAACTTTTCAATATAATAAAAATTGTGAATAGTGTTAATAAATTTGCCTATTTTGCTTATGTACAGAAACTTAATTCAGAATAATATATTTAAAACCTATTACTGAACTATTATATACTGAAAAAGCATTTGGGATTTCTCCGGATATTAGTTATTTTTTTTTTTTTTTTTCATTTTCTGGCTTTCTAATTTTTAATCACAAACAAATGTTTTAAGCAAAGTCAGAAAAGAATAACTTTTAAGATACAAAGTCAGCTTATAAATAGCAAAAGAATTCAAAATACAGTACAGCTAATCTTCATAAAGAAAATTCTACTTCTTAAAATTTACAGAAATAAGCCTAAGGGAATATGCATGCATACAACAGGTTGAAGGAAAAACTGAGAGAGAAACACAAATATCTACTCTAATTAAAGATAGTTCCAGACAGTTATAAACAGTAAACTTTTCTTATGCCTTACAAAGAAAAATGGTACTTTTCCATTTCGCCGGTGCAGGTGATAAATTCACCAATAATGGTACAACCGTTGCCAAGCGGAATGTCTCTCGCTGGTAACCTTTTACTCCTTATTTTCAAAAGCACGTCGCAGCCATTTCTAATCATATTTATTGTTGATAATTTCTTTCAATATTTGGC